TCTTTCCCGAATAATAGATACGTGTACGGGTCGTTATGCAAAGTAAAAAACTCTGTATCTTTCAGTAATAAAAAAGATAAAATGGTTTTTTCAAGATTTTTATAGATAACCGGGGAAAAAAAGGGAACGGATTGATTTAAAATTCTTTTGCCTCATTAATCTTAAAATTCCTGTAATATGAATTAATAAATAATACAAGACTCATTTAATATGCACAAAATATGTGTATTTAATATTTATTAAATATAAAGCAAATTATATAATTAATTATATTTATTGATAATATATACAAAAAATGTATTGTCCCTTAAAATCTAAACACAAATGTGTACAAATTTTTGGAATAATGATAGAACTAAATAGAAGAAAATAACGAAAAATATAAATTATTATGAATTTATAAATATACATATACATATAATGTACATATAATAATTTGATTTGTTATTTTATTATTTATATTTTATCGTATTTTATTATTTATTGTAAACATTTTTGTTACATTTTTCATATTTTTCCACAACTCGTTAAATAAAATTGTTGTTTTTCAAAAGTATTGAAAAATATTTATATCGTACAATTAATAAAACAAAACTGGAATGTCATTAATATATTTATGGCCAATGGGCTGTTAACGATCTCCACTATATATAAAATTCAATAAAATTGCAATCATTTTACATATATCAATGCTCAACGAATCATTTTAAATATGAATATGGTCAGATTTTTTTTCAAACTTGATATGTTTATTAACATATATACAAATGTTTAAAAATTTTTTTCACATATTTTATTGACATATTTATTCATGTATCTTTTTTAACTTACGTTTATTTATTTTATTTTCAAATTATAAAAAGACAATTTCCAAGATAAACACGTTAAAATTATACTTTCAAAAGTGTTTTAATTTTTTGAATTTTCATGATTTTATTAACATTAAACTACTTAATTTTCTCGTATACAATTATGCAACTTTACGCAATAATATTATTCCGAAATAACCGCAAGTCATCGATAATCCTCTCGAAAAACAGATATTTACGGGCGCCAGGATAAAGACCGGTTATTATTATACCTGTTGAAAATATAGCTTGCTGAGAAAATTATTGAGCGATCGATACGCGCCCATCATGCGTCGCATTCGATCAAAATGCAAGTCACTTAATATTGCGCTAAGAACTGCCAATGGCAGACATGATCATAAATTTTATTATTTGCACGCCCGCATCTCGCGTGCAAATCTTCGATCATTTATGCTCTAAGAGAATATCATTAAGCTGGGTTCTCTACGCTTGAAATCAAAACGATAGAAGGAGCTCTCTAGTTACAGCGCCAACATCATATGCAGTAAATTACGGTATATGGATGCAGGTATACAGGGCAATACGTGATACTCATATCACTGTGTAACGTTTCCGCAAAGAATTTCTTTGTTTGCGATTTTATGACCCGGGATGCACGCGCGCACGAGGCGAGCAGATTAACGTAATCCCGAATGACATCGCAGAGCGGAAATGGTGAAAAAAAAAAGGTCACGGGAGCGCGAATACTCGATAACGATCAAGATATCTTCAGCAAACACCGCGCTAGGATGGGACTGTAAATGCAGTCGCTCTCGTATTTTTCCGTAAAGTGGGACCGATACGATTTGCGTATGCAATGCTAAATCAACTGTCGTGGAAGATTTACGACAAGTGCTTTAGTCGCGGATATGACATATTTCATTTAATACGATGAATAATTTGCAGTTTCAATAAAAATTTATGTCGTTTCTTTTTAGATAACGCATTCTCCTTATCAAAGTTTGCACAATTTATGACGATCGTACGAGTCTTAAAATTTTATAATATGACTACGCAATGTTTTCGCGCTTTAAGTAAACGCGAGGCTCTACGAAATTCCAAACACTTCTTAGAATAAGAGTTTTACCGAATTTACGCACGAGAGAAACATGAGACTGCAATTCTACGACCGCTTTTTCCTCTATTGTTACCCAAGGTATATACAAAGCGTGCACATTTCCCAAATGCTAGTTCATGAATCGCCGTGAGTTACGCAGCTGCACCATGTGTTTCGCTATCCGCGTAGAAATTTTCCAAACTTTTCCCAGATACAGCCATAGATTCCGATTAGAATGCCCATATTTGTCTCAAATAGATATCAATACGGTAATATCTCGCGTCAAGTCATGCGCAGCAACAGCGAGACACCTCGTATATCTATACACGGAATCGGCCAGTTGAGAGTATCTGAGATTTTCAGATTTCAATAACGGCTGAAGCGATCGAGTTCTTACTAGATTTAATTGATAGCTTCGAATTATATCAAGAAGAGTTCGAATTATATCAAGAAAATATCTTATTTTTTCTCTACATATCTTGTAGGCACAGATATTATGTTACAAAGTCTTTAAGTTAAATTTTTTCTTTAAGAAACGTTACTTATTTTGTGCAGATTAAATTAAAATAACACTAATTTAAAAATACATATAACAGTTTTCTATAACTGGCGCGTGTATCTGGCGTCTTTTTTCACCTTTTTTGAAAAAGTTTTTAAGGATTTATTGTACTACGGTATCAATTCGGAATCCCATTTTTACTCCAAATACGGCTTTTCGATCTAAATTCGAAACAGAAACGGGTACGGAAATTTGCATCTTTTTTTTTTGGTAGATTAGATTTTAAAAAAACGGTACAGTTTAATGCAATCAGATAAGAAATCCCGTTTTTATAGTAACTATTGAATTCTCTCAATAGAGTAAAAATATAAGTATATTAGTTTTATGTTTACCGCTAGACAGCATATCGACTTTTTTACATTTAAATTTCTATGCAAACTGGTTATAAAGCCTGCAAAGTGCGGCTATTAATCGTAAAAATGTTAGTATTTGTTTTTATCATTTAAAAAAATCTAATTCTATTTCTATAAAAGATTCAGAACATTTAACTAATTTTTTGTGGCTCCATTTGATTTATCCAGAGTTTCCACAAAACCGGGATCAATGCTAATTAGGCCGTTGTAAATTTCTATTTGGCCAAAGCATTTTAAATATTC